CCCCGGGCCGTAGGTCATGGAATTATCGGTTCATTGCACTTGAGTTATCATAACTTGGACATTAGGTGGAATCAATTTATTCATTGGTAGTAGCTCTTTAATCCTGAACACTATTAGCACTAATGGGCGATACCTCAAGTGCAATGGTGATATATCGAATTGCAAAGAGAGGACACTTTCATATTCACTTTCGCCAAAAAATAAAATAAAATAAAATGAAAGAGAGAAGGAAAAGAACTGTCTGTCCCCAAAAAATAAATAAACCACAAATTGGGACAAACAAAACCCCAAACTTAGTAAAGGCTTGTATCAATTTGATACAACTCAGTCTAAGGATGTGTTCATTTTACCGATTAAAATTTATAGCTTGAATTGAATTATTGATTGAAGTTGAAATTAAGATTAGAATTGAAACTAGAATCAGAATTACTGTTTAGGAGTGCACATGGCCTATTATGTTTGATTTCCAATTCAAGTTGTGAGGTGTTCATTGAACACAATCACGATTTCAACTACCACACATTCTCTAAAAATTACACACGGAAATGAAATGAAAAAAACTCAATTGCATGCAAATTTTTCTTATACCGGCCGCTTAATGTAACATGCTGCATGTACAACAATTTTTATTTTATTTTGTGATACTTTACTTGGTTCATACATATAACCAAAAAACGTACACAAATTACATGAAATAGTAAAGCACCATTTATAGAAATGATGTTGGAAAAATGCGAAAAATAAACCTACGTCAAGAATTGGATCAAAACATGACTGATCTATTACACCCCAAAATGTGTTATACGTTAATATTTGGAGTTTACATATTACTACCGATTATTATTTTCTCCTTCAGCCTGTCACATAGTGCTCACCATTTCATCTCTTAATACACCAATCTGTCTCCCTCCTTCAGTTTGCCAATCTGGGTTGTGATTTTGATTAACATCTTTTTTCGTATTTGCAGGGTCAATTTCACTTACAGGTACCCCGTCTTAAAAGTATTGGCTAATGAAGCAAGTTATTTAATACAGCACAAGCAGTAGGTATTTTCATCTATTTCCGCATTGGGTAGTTGTTAATTATCTTTAAAATGCGGAACTTTGCCTTCCACAGCCCGAATGTGCGCTCGATGCAATTCTTAAGCGATGAATGTGTGTAGTTGAATAACTCCCGCTCACTGCGAGGTCGACTTCGACGTGCCCTTAACTCTTACAAGTGGTATGTAACACCACGATATGGTGCTAAGAAACATCCCGTGTTTACATACCCAGAGTCTACTACATAAAATTTGTCTACACAAATTCACAAAGACAAGTAAATTGTTATGTGTAACAATGATACAACCACAAACTAGTGAAATGCATGTTTATAACCATATTGAAGGACTTTTCTTTACCTTGTGGAGGAAGTGGGAAATTTTTTGTTGGCGTTTCAAGTGCGAAGAAAGCGCCAAGTCGAGGCATCTAGGCGCGGAGGCCTTAAGGTTGACGAGATCCAAAGCCATGGCTGTGAGGACGTGGGCAGAGGCGTCTCCCGGGGAGAGGGAGAGTGCTTTCATATTTACTTTCGCCAAAAAAAAAATGATGATTAATTTAGTCAATTTATTCATCAGGTGCTAAAGTTTGGGATTTCGTTTGTCTCAATTTGTGTTTTATTATTTTTGGGGACTGGCAATTCTTTTCTCTCTGTTCTTTTTTTTTTTTTTAAGCAATTCTTCTCTTTTTCTGGCGAAAGTAAATATGAAAGTTTCGACTTTGAAGTGAGTAATATTCTTTATTTTCTTTTTTTTATTTTTTTGGTCCCTTAGAGAAGTAATAAATTGATAATAGCCATTCAATTAATTTTACTTCTTTTCATTACAGGTGAAAGTAGGTTGTCACGTTTCATTGTTTCAATGAGCTGGATGCTTTTCTTTTTCTTTTTTTTTTTTTTGATAAAACAATTAGCTAGATAGTTGTTAAGCGAAAGAGAGAAACAAGGTTAGAATAATTTGCATTAGTAGTCTTCAGCAACAAAAGATTGCACTTAAGAAAATTTTCAAACAAAAAAAAAAAGCGAAATTGAGGCAGAGAAGTTGGACTTACAGGACAACTATGGTCGAAACCGCTAGAAGCTTTTGAGTTGGCTACTGCAAGCTGACGCAATTTACAAACCATGGCGGAATCTAGAAAGGATTCCTATCAATTTCACTCTTGAATATTCCTATCAATTTTCTAACCATGGTCTTGAATATTCCTACCAATTTCACTATCTTTGTTTCTATCTGGAGAAAAAAAATATTTGATAAAACAGAATTTCCATTTTTTAAGAGGCAGGGTACATGTAAGTTTGATATACTTGTGTATTTTATACTTGATGAATTTGCCAAAGAATTGACATAAAATTTTATGCAAAAGACTGGAATTTGATAATGGTCCGAGTTTGTCTTCTATTAGTTGAATGCGTTATTTGGTACTAACTACCAACCTCCAGCTCAAAACGACAACGAGCTACCTAAAGGAAAAGAAATGCAAATGTTTCATAAGAAAATTTTTCTAACTAGGTTGATAACCCTCTTTTTCAGCATTGTACCAGATATCTAATAAGGTTAAATACAAGAGCCAGCTTTCCTACCACTGTATCCAGTACGCTCTTAAGCCTGCAAACGGAAAAGAGCAAAACCTCCTAAGCCTTTTCTTCTACAACTCCTCAAACTTGGGAGGTCGGACTACAAGGGGTCAGATGTTTGGTCAGCCAGAAAGGAAGCCACGAATAAAGAGCTTTCGATAATTTTGTTAGCCGCTAACATTAGGGAATGCAAAAAACGGACTACTACTTATCCACCGATATCAGTAGGACTGGTGAGGCCATACAAAGAACTCCGCCGGCTGGGAAATCAAGGCCGTCACAGGAGCTGCAACGGCAGGTGATGAGCCTGCAGCATCTGCGCCTCCGATGTAGTTAGGTTGAAAATGCTGGAACAGATTGTGGTGGTAAAGCGCTGCATCGAATGGAATCCCGCATGGGACAGCAGAAGCCGGCTGAATAGTGGAGAAGTTGATGTTGTTGGCAGTGGTGGTGACGATGCTATTTCCGTATTGAGTTTGCTGGTCCTGAGTAAGAGATGGTTTTTGATCCTCCGAATCGAGGGAGAGCTTTAAGCGCTTTGCTGCTCCACCAACAGGAAGAGCACTTTTTGCTATAGCTTCTACGTCGTATCGGCTCATTTCAAAGTTTGTCACCGCATTTGCACCTCTGAACTTTATGGCGGCAATGTCATAAGCCTCTGCGGCTTCCTCTTCTGTGGCTGTCCCAAAAAAAAAAAAAGAAGGAAGTTATCATTTTGAGTGATATAACAAATGTTCATTCCTAGAAAATGTTAGTTTCCTAGAAAGAGTTGGTTTTAAAGTTTGTTTAGCATCCCGGAAACAACTTTCATCAATTTGCGATGATCTAGAAGTTAAAACTCATGGCTCTGACTGTCCAGCATGTGATTAATGTGACAGTAGTACAAGTTAAGTTGATTGTTTACCAAATGTCCCAAGGTACAGATCTTTGTTCCCAGCAACACGACCTATTCTTGCTTGCCAACGACCTTGTTGATGATGCCTGTAATTTCAATTGACAAATTCACGACTCAGATTTTCACAATGCAGGGCACATCTCTATAATTTTCCCCTTCAATAAGGGATAAACTAAATTGTAGTACTAACCTTGTTACTCCCCTGTATATTGAAGCCCCTCTTGAGAAACCACTACTTTTCCTGCTCAGCAAAGAAAGAAGTGTGTTTAACCTAACCGTCTTCACGCAATAAATTATGTTGGAAATGAAATAGAAGGACGGAATTGAGCAAACCTTCTGAGGGACGCAATGAATTCTTGCTTGGTTACATGTTTCATCTCTTCCAATTCTTTGCTGTAATTTGAAACCTGAGAAAATGATTTCAACATGGTTAAGTAACTTGCCTACGTCACGTAACCCACAGAAGTTAATAGATCAATTCATATAAAATCTCTGAACATTTCAAGTGCTTATATCTTACAGGAAAGTTGGTGGTTGCATTGGCGCCCCAGTACTTTAGAGCGGCTAAATCATATGCCCTGGCTGCTTTTTCTTCTTTGTCGTAGCCACCTGAAAATTAAACAAGCAATCACACTAATGACACTTGCTATAGAACTCATTAAAAATACATGAAAGTTCGAATATATATAACTAGAAAACAGTAGGAACTTACCTAAGTAAACTGTAGAGCATGATCGAATGTTGAGTCGGCCAATATCCAAAATTCCCATTCCATACAAAAGAAAACGCAAGAATACCACCATTAGTGTATGTAGTGGTAAGATATTTTGGATAAGTAGAATATCCCCATAGAGAGAACAATAAATTGTATACTTCATTATGAATGGAAAAGAAATGATATCAATAATACGCTGATTATACAAATAAATCTTCACTTTGATTAAAAAGAGATGAAATTAGTAATAACCTGAAATAATGCAAAACAAATAATTCTTTTTGTTCATTATAACCAAGTAACTTTTTTCTTCTTTTCAGAGAACTCTTACTGGGCTGAGTTAAGCATAAAATTTTCTTTTATTTATTTATTTGTGTCTTTCCTTTGGCTCCTAGTTAATCACAAGTTCCATCTTTATTCTTTATCGTATAGCCTGGGCCTTGGACACCTTTGCCGCAAAATGGAATGCCAATAGCAGCAGACTCGGTAAATTTGTGTTTTTACAGTTACCATCATCTAGTGTTTTGTCACTTTTCTTTCTCCAGCTACCAAAACGTATAAAGTAAAAGTCGACATAGTTCAATCAATAGGCAACAGTTTTCCAAAAGCTACCAATCTCTGCAGGATGTTTTCCTCCGTATGTACACATAATTTAGGCCCCAGTGTGTATGGACAGGAAACTCATCAGCCCACTACCAGATCCACTATCACCAAGGTTCGGCGATGGTAGTGGGCAAGCATTAAATAATAAACCCAATTTTCAAATGGGTGCTCTGGTCAAACCAGACTTCCTCTGACGGATGAAAGCAAAAGCAAAAGTTAAAGGTAAGCTCAGAAAATCAGACGCATTGCTCAGAAGCCCATTGATGTCTGCAAACATCTGGGGTTTTGGGGTATGGGTCGCGTCAAAACCTTCAAAATGGGGGTACGGAGACAGGAGCGTAGTCTGTGCGAAATAGAAAGATACAGAGAGGAGATGGTGAAAGAGGGAGAGAGAGAGAAAGAGAGAGCTCTCACTGAAGCCAAAAGACAAGAAATCAAAAAAACCCACATGAACAAAATGGCGGCACATCTGATCAAATCAATTGATAGAAAGAAAGAAAACTCAGAACAGAGAAAATAAAAGTACCATTTGTACATGTATATACCGTCAATCAATCATAAAAGACTAATGGAAAAAGAGATGCAAATATCCCCACCTAAACAAAGCTGACCACCCCCACCCACCCATTAATAATGCAATTGAGTTACATGCAAGTTTTCTTCTCAGCTGTACATGATATTTAAATCCCATAAATTCACACATCATACACTGTATAAAATATACAATTTTTTTTAAAATTAAGATATAATATGAGTCAACAGAACAATTTAAAAATAATACGAATTTTGCATATTAAGATTAAAAAAAGAAGTTTAAGTTAATGCATGTTAAGATTAAAAAAAAAAGTTTAAGTTAAAATTAAGTCATTTTGAAATTGATACAAAAAATACAAGTTAATTTTATATAAGTTAATTTTATATTAGACTGTTTAATCTGAACACGATACGAAATTAGTAAAAAATTAAAAAATACATATATTTTTAATTTTATTATAAATTTGTGATATGATAATAATTATACTCAAAATCTTATACTATTATTTACTTAATTATAATGAATGTTATTATATTTTAATGTGTTATAAATTTTAAGGTATTTTTAATATGTAAAAAATTAAATAAAAATATATAATTTTCGTATCAATTTTAAATTCACAAGTCAATTTCGAATCATGAGTTATTTTTATATCGTGTCGTGTCAACTTGTAAAATGTTCGTGTCGTACTTGTGTTTAATTTTTAAAAAATTCCCAATTTCGAATCATGAGTTATTTTTATATCGTGTCGTGTCAACTTGTAAAGTGTTCGTGTCGTACTTGTATTTAATTTTTAAAAAATTCTGTATAACAAATCGTGTTTAAATTAATTACAAATTAAAAAAAATAATATACAAACATGATCCGTGACACGAATTTACTATAATAAAGAATTTACTATAATAAAGAGAGGGTAAACACCGGAGAACAAACCTTGACGACCTTTCCTGGCCTGACCCTCTCTTCTACAGCTGTTATCCCATAGATGCGCTTCATATCTACCCGTCCATCTGTGTCTGCAACAGTTCAGAAAATTATAAACTTACGCCAACAGATCATGCGCTTCTATACTCACCCCACCATGCGTGAAAATTAATGAATCAAAACATCATACAGTTTTGTATACAATTTATTTGAATCAAATGATACTTATTTCTCCAGGTTTTCATGCATTATCGCGAAAATCAATTGAAACCCAGTACGATCGGTGAAAAATGTTGCAGTGTACGACTAATTTCAGATATTTGGAGCCTTTCAAATTATTAGAGTACTATTTTCAGGTTATGCTACAGAAACATAATAAAAGCAAATCCAAGTAGAATCAACAGTACCCAATCCAAATACGCATTACACGAATTTAAAAAAATAATGGAGAACATAGAAATAGTAAACTACCTAGTGACCCCTCTGTAAATGGAAGTTCGCTGGCCAAAAGTATCGGCAACCTTCTTTGAGCAATCCGAATCAACAGGAACAAAGGTTTTCTCAGTGCTCAGAGACTGAGTGGTGACGCCAAGCGACAAAGATCCCGTGGGGCAACTCGAGAAGGCCAACTCGTTCCCGGCCGACGACTCAATCGAGTGACCAGCGAACTCGGCGCAAGCGAGCTGAGTCCTCGGGATTGAGGCCGAGTCGTCGACCTCCGAGCCCGAGTTGGTCGAGAAAGCTTGGAAACCCGTGACCGCCTTGACCTTGAGATCTTGCTGTTGGTCAGCGAAGTAGGACGCGTCGTAGATTTGAGTCAGCGACGAGTCTTGGGTCTCCGTTTGGCTGTCGGAGTATCGGACCATCGACGACGAGTCGCCGAGAAAGTCCTCGAGCTTTGGGACGGCTTGGCTTTGGCTCTGCGGATCGATGAAGCTCGTCAGAATCGGCGAATCATCGGCAATATTACTAAGCGGTTGGCTTTCTTTTCCTTGATTGTCTTCCTCCGTCAAGAACACTTGAGACTTCGGATTAGCCCACCCTAAAAAAAAGGTACTGCTGAGTCGGTGCATCGGACGTTTGGTTCCCGAGAAAGTACAGGAAAACACGAAAAAGAAGAAAACAAAAAAAAAATCGCAACTCTGTGAATCAGTGACGAAGGCCTATACACATGCGGTTGAAGCAACTAATATGCCTATGATTATCTTTTTTTCTCACCGACAAAAGTTTCAAAATGATAATCAGACTAGGTGACCTCGATTTTCTCAGCTACCAAACAGAAAAAGTTTTTCTTGGAAGAGGATAATCACGTGACGCAGGTATATATATATATATATATATATATATATTATACATTAGTCATTACTTGAATGTGCTTCTTAGCAGAAGAAAGGAAATAATAGATTTTACCCTCAGAGAAACTGCTCTTTTCGTCAGACTTATTATACACAAGAACAACATTTTATCTTTACACACATGTAGCGACATTTCTGCGCATTGATTGCAACATAACAAAAAATGATAAAAGCCTTACGAATTGGCGGTTAAAGAAGATTAAATCAAACTCCTAAAAATCAAACAATATTAAATTAAAACAACTCTTTTGAAGATTCTACTTAATTCACTGATTAGTGGAAAGAGGCCTTTACTCGTTACCATTGGCATAGAAGTTATCGATTAGGTACTGAGGCGTAGCGGTGGAGGCCGAGTTCTCGTACGCGGCCGCCATGAACTGAGTCGACTCGGAAGACCTCAACATTTCCAATGGAGACAAAGAGAACGATAGCCAGTTACAGTTGGTAGCCGGAGCCATTGACGACTATTTTAGTCACCTTTCTTTTCTCCTTTTTCGTCTCTGTTTAATCTCTTACAACTGAAACAGAAGAAACAAACACGAGTCATTAATTAGCACAACGGACTTTATTTTTTTCTCAGGAAACAAACAAAAAGAGAAAGGGAAAAAGGAAAAGGAAGAAACGAAACCGACATTACCTTCAACTTGAAGCGTTACTACTGAAATCACTTGGAAGCCATTTTTAGTCGGATTTGAAGAAGAAGAAGTTTGTTCAAGAAACGGCAGTGCATGCAAAGGTAGCTATGAGGAGTACTAGTTAGTACTGTATGCGAAAATGCTCAAAACACAGAACTGATAACCACAAAAGTTTGAGAGAGGAGAGAGAGAGAAGATGAAGGAGAGAGAAGGTGTTTATATATAAGATACATATGGTGGGGAAATGAAAGAGAGATGTGTAGCGGTTTCAGCTGCCAACCGGCGTAAAACCAGAGTGAAAATAGTTTCTAGAGAGAGAGAGAGAGAGAGAGAAGAGCGGAAATAAAATAATGGGGGGAAATAGAGAGGAGAGAAAAAATAAGAGAGAGAAAGAGAGAGAAGGGAAGGGACTTTTTGGCACTGCGCGGAAGAAAATTTGTCTGAGAACAAGGTCGCGAAAGATCCGGGCTGGCGGATTGGAGAATTTGTTAGGGTTCGTTTCGTTCGGGCACCTTGAATAAATAAAAGAGAGATTAAAGTGTGAAATAAAAATAAAATAAACAAATAAACAAATCATCTTTTCTCTTACTTTTTACCAAAATGACCCTTTGCCAATCGCATGCCCTTTGCTTCACACTTGTCTTACATGCAGCTTTACTCGAAAATGAGCCATCTACTTGACCCCGTCTCACGTGGCTATTTTTATTTTTTTTAAATAATTTAAATCTCATTTATTTTATTAATTTAAATTTAAAATTTAAATTATATATAATAAAAAAATTTTAAAAATAATCATATTTAATTTTTTTATTATAATAAAAAATTCTCATATAAAATTATATTTTAACTCGAATCAATAAATTAAACAAGCCTTAATTTTCTTTTAAAGTGAGTGTTTTATTTCTTTAAAAAACTATAAAATAAGTATTTTTGCTTGAAAAAAAAAAAGATAAGTAGCTCGCCAATGAGATTATAATTTAACAATACATAAAAGAGACAACTTTGTCTAGTTATTTTTTTTATTTTTTTACTTTTTATTTTTATTGTTAAAATTTTTTTACATTTTAATTTTTTGTGTGCTTTTTAAGATATATTGTTCCCCACTTTATTTTTATGAGAGTTATTTTTTTGTATATGTTCCTATTTTATTTTTGATTGGGTAAAATAATTCTCTTTACATGTGTCCCTACTTATTTTTTTATCAACTATTATCTTTACACATATTTCCTTTTAAAATAAATTCAAAAATTCTTAATAGTTGTATATTTTTCATTATTGAATAAATAATAAACTCTTCAGTATTTTCAACATGACAATACGTGCGAAACACGTTACAAAACTAGTTAGAATAGAAACAAACACAACTCATACTTTGGGATCTTTTTGATAAATAAGTTCAAAATTTGGTGGTTTGAATTTTTTTTATTGGAAGAAAATTTTGTTCAAGTTTTAATTCAAACCACTTAAAGAAAAGGGAGGGGGAGGAGCATACATAAGATTTTTTTAGTTCAAAACAAAGTTAATATTTAAAAATATATCGAAAAGATCCTATGTGTTTTGTTAAAATATTAATACTCAAAACACCATGTCTTTATAAAAACATATGCAAAACACCTTTGAAATATTTGAATTTTTAAAAATGCCATAATGACCCTTCCAAATCTATATTAGATGTTATTTAGATATCATTTAACTAAAAAATAAAATAAAAAATTTATAAAAATGCTCAAAAAATATTTCAATTAATTTAAGAGTTTTTCATTTTTTAAGATTTAATGTTTTAAATAGGATTTAATGAAAATTGGGAAGAGTAATCTTGATATTTTAAAAAATTTGTTTCAAGAGGTATTTTAAGTATGTTTTTATAAACACAGTGGTGTTTTGGATATTTATATAATAAAAGATATGAAAATGTTATTTTAACAAAAGAAAATAGGCGTTTTGAATATTATTCCTTAATTATTTAAACTAAAACTTAAAAAAGCTTTGTTAAATATTAGAACGGTTTAAACTAGTTTACCAAATGGGCTCAAAGAGTTCAAAAATCATATATGCCTAAAGTCGATGAGAGGCGTATCTCAACTTTAATATGGACAATGAAAATCAGTCCCTTGATACTGGGTGAGACACTATGCTACAGTTTTGATATTTTTTTCTTTTTTTTTTTTGGCTTTTGCTGATTCTTCATATATTATGCTTTTTTTAGGGGCCTTTATTAATGCTTCTTTAGGAATATATAAAGTTTTCTTTTTCAGAAAGATAATCAAGTAAAACTATTTGGATTCAAAAGATTAAAAAAAAAAAAAAAAAAAAAAAAAAACAAAGAAAAACTATTTGGATTTTTTTTTAATTGCAAATTTGGAGTTTACCGTTACTACTTAAAGGAGGATGAAATAGTATGATAAGGAGATGGAGACTTTTTGGTAAGTTTCCAAAAATAAAAAAATAAATAAGAGCTTGGTGTACAGCTCAATCGTAGACAGTTAAATTCTTATCAAGTTTTATTAAGTTTACATTTTTTTTTTTTGTATTTTATATGATTTTTTGTCATTTCACAATTCGAAAATGTATATTAATAGAATTATTTTGTCCTATCATAAAATTCTCGAAATAAATTAATAATATCTTCAAGGCTTACATATACATTTATTATTCCTAAAAGAATGATGTGTTTTGATTTTTCAAATACAATGTATATCGCTAACAGAGTTGTGTAACGCTTAAGATATCGTAGTACACTTTTAAAGTCTACGTTTGACAAAAGACCTATTAGGGTATTTTTTGTTTTATTGATGGACTCTTAAATTTTTGCAATAAATGAAGGTAATGGGAAATGGTGTTAATAATCTCGTTTTTATTTGGAAAGAAAAGTAGTATTGTAAAATTAAGCTATGTATCACATTATTTTTGACGTTTCTAGTGAAACGAGTGAAGGTCATTTGTCCTAACAATTTTACGGCCATGACCAAAATTTATATATAGATGATTTTCTAAAAATAAAAATAAAAAAATTGCTAATAAATGGAGAGAGGAAACCAATACATAGGGGCCCGTTCACTTCGCTGATTCGAGTTTGTAATTCGAGTTGAGATGTGATTTTATGTGAGTTTTTTACTGTAGCAAAAAAGTTAGATGTGACTATTTCTGAGAGCTTTTTACTGTAGCAAAACTCAAATTCTAAATTCAAATCGACGAAATGAACGAGACCATAGAAATTTAGAGTTAAAACTACCTTCTAGAATACCATACAGGAATGACACCAGTTACCTAAAAGCGCTAACACACACATATTACATACCAAGTTGTTGTTGTTGTTTTATTATTATTATTTTTTTTTTCCGGCGGGAATACATGCCATGGGTTACATCAAAGTCGTAGGACATTGTTTTGAATCTGAATATTTGTTTAATCCATCCATGTAAAAACCTTTCAAAATATAACAACCAGAGGCATGATTTCATTTTTTAAATATGTAGCACATCCCATATGACAATTTGTGATTTACTTACCAATCTTCCTTTACGTCAGCATGAGAAGGGGACTGAAATTAAAAAAATAATAATAAATAAGATGTCAATTTTAAGATACCAGTTTCGATGTGACCTCGTGTGATTCCGGCACATTATTTGAAGCTACCATTGCAAAGTAAAATCGGCCCTCAAATTCACTTTGTACCGTTGAATATGGGGGAAAAATAAAAGAGGAGGGAAGGAATCCCAGAAGCTATTACCCAATAACATTTATTTATTTTTTTAAAGAATTTTTTAGTATAAGAACTCTTTTTTTTTCTTTCATTATCTATAGAAAATATCATTTTAATCGTATAATTAACTTTTTAACAGTTTAATTTATAAGTGTTTTGTAATATATAGGACACATAATTTTTTCTGCTCATAAATCAAATCATTGAAAGACCAGTAAAACAGTTTAAAAACAATACTAACCAGTAATAGAAAAGAATAGCCCCTACCCTATTTTTTTAGGTAAACTAGGGTTGTTTGGTTGGGAGATTCGTACCCTAATTCGAATCATGGTTCATGGTTCACTACAGTATTTTCTCTCATAAAAAATACAAGTAAATCGAAAATAGTTATAATCTCATGATTCTAATCCATGAACCAATGTCTCCTAAGTATTATTCATTAACAGCTACTATAGTTCCCGATAATATTTAGCTATAACACAACATTGTCAACAACAGATCTTCCACATGCAATATTACAATTTTGGTATAGCTAAATGTATTTTAATTTCAATTGCAAATGAGATGAATTAAAGAATTTAAACAATGAAATTAACATATAAATTGATGAAATAAATAGGAGACTTCCTTTTTCTTTGAGAAAGAGGAGAATTATTTGATAGGATACGAGGGAAAGAACTACCAATAGCTATAGCTCTAAAATTTTAGATTTATGTTAAAATTCTATTAAACTGGCGTACTTTTTTAATCTAATATTATTATGACTATGATAAGTAAATTACTGTCTTTTAGGGAATATTAAGACTGTCACTACAAAATTATTAAAAAGGATAAGAATACTTCTTTAAAAGGCATCATGGAATGCTTTTTGCATCAATGGAGAAAGGGGAAAAAATAGAAATGGGAAAGAAATTTAAATGAAAATAGAGAAGAAAATAAAGTGCAAAGGAAGACAAAAAAAGTACTTACAAACCTGTGTCTTCTGTGCATCTTTTATTATTATTTTTTTGTTTTTTATTAATTCTTTAGGTCAAAAGCAAAACAATGGAATATCCAATAAACATTAGCCTGTTGAAGTGCTTCTTTAACAAAATGGATGAAAAAAGACTTTTACGACCATCAAACTTGAAAGGAAAGTGCAAGACCAAGTGACCGAGAAACCTGGAGACAGAGAACCTGATCATCAGGTTGTTTCTTTTTCCCACTGTGAAATTTGAAGTAATTCCCCAGCTTTTACGGTTAGTGATTCGACAAATTTGTCTAAAAGTAGTGCCTCTAAAAAATAAATATATATTATGAATTTATGTTTCTCTATTGACCGCCAAGAACGAATAGTAGCTACTGCTATACAGAATAATCTGTCGAGCAATTGCATTTCTTTAGTGTTGTTATTGGTAGCTATAACGTTATTTTCTTCTCCTTGTTTTTGTATATTTTGTAATTAGAATTAATTATACATATTTTCAATCACAATTCAAATAATTTTTTACAATGTTTTTTTTAACGAAAATTTAAATTTTTATTTAACTTATGCTCATACTTATGAACTAAACTGGGTCTAGATTCTCTCGCATGACAAATTCCGTGCTTCTAAATTTCATTAGCTTTCAGAAAAAAATA